CCCAAACTGTATTAGTCGTTGATCCTATGCACTCCCAAACTGTATTAGTCGTTGATCCTATGCACTCCCAAACTGTATTAGTCGTTGATCCTATACACTCCCAAACTGTATTAGTCGTTGATCCTATACACTCCCAAACTGTATTAGTCGTTGATCCTATACACTCCCAAACTGTATTAGTCGTTGATCCTATACACTCCCAAACTGTATTAGTTGTTGATCCTATACACTCCCAAACTATTGAAATTCTGTGGGTATATGTGATGTTTCTTATCAATCTTCAAGTGGAATACATCTTATTCATATAAATTTGTGGTATTTCCTATTTAAGGTAACTTCTGACATAAGGTTAAGCACTAGTGTGTATAAGTTTCTACAACAGATTGCATACAAATTTGTAATTTGCATTTGTTAGATTTTTGAACTGTCATTTAAAAAACATTCTTCGGGGATTCTCTACAGAAATCTTTTGATTCTGTAATGGATTTGATCGATATGTTTGGATGTTATCTCTAGATATAAAGCATGGTGATCCCCAGTGGTATGCCACACTGACAGCCAATCTCACAGCTGAACAACAAAAAGCTGTACAAGAGGTGTTCATTCTCGCAGATCAGAGGAGGGCAGCAGCAGGTACAGTTCTCTTTCAGAGAGGTGTATTGTGGGAAATATCAGCAAGTTAAATAAAGGGATTTATAATTGTGTATCAAGACTTCTTGAACCTACGTGTTTTTCTGAGGTCATGAATTAAATGTTAGTGTAACTGAAATAGCATTCGGACAATTATGTTAATTTTTAAATATATTTTTACTTGTATAAATATTTGTAGAAAAATTCAGTGAACATTTGGTTTTAGTTCTTGTCCTATGGTAGATTAATGGTAAGTTTATAGATATAAAATGCTTAAATCTGGGGTTTGATTCCCAGCAGTGGAGTGACACAGCCTATTGTGTAGCTTTGTGGTGAAACAACTTATTTACAATATTGCTCTATTATTCTGTTTTTCTTGGTGAACAAAAAATATTTCCTTGGCTAATTGAATAACAGTTAGAAAGAAAAAAACCTGTACAACCCATTTAAGCAAGAGTTATGTACTAGCCCTGAAGAAGATCAAATGTTACTTAAAATACAAGTTCTTTTAACTGGAGATTAAATGTCATTTTTTCTAACTTTATTATCAAAATGTACAAATCCCTTCAGCACACTACAAATTTTGAAAGTATTTGTTGTCATAGCTTCAGTGTTGTTAGTTACAGGTAGTGATTCATTTACATCTACTTTTGTTTTTTAATGTCTCAAATTACTAGCGTACGTTTGTACTAAGATAAATTTCTGATTTTGAACCTGGAGTTTTTCGGTGGTATTGGTTTCTTAAGTTAGTAGGAAATAGTAACAAGTTAGGAAAACATGTGAAGCCATTATGTTACATTTATGGTTTTTTTTGTTTCTTCCAGAATCCAAACGAATTGAAAAGAGTGGAGGTTATGTCTTTCAGAATCAGACGGTCCCAACATCATTTAATTTTGGTGGTACACCCCTCTCTTAAACATCATTAGAACTTAGTTTATTAAAGCAAATCTAGACAACTTTACTCAAACCTTCAAAAGAAAAACTCTTTATACCTGTACTGTTTCTTTTTGAGCCAGTCAAACCTTGAAAAGATCTCCTGGTAATAGTATATGGGGAAAAAAACAACAACTAACAAACATCATTGGTTTATTAACGTGTGGATCAATAGTACGATTATGTTGGTAAAACATTACTTTTAGTAATTATTTTACCTACCTTAGTCTGTTGTTTTTTTATGTCTTCAAGATACATTGTCATTTCATAATGATTAATTTTTCAGTAATATCTAATCCAATTGTTTGTACACTATTAACTAAGATTTTTGAGAATGGGTGGAATTTAAACTTTTTACCTTAATGAATGCTGCAGTTTGTTATACAAGAGGTTTTTGCGTGTGATGGGTGTTCTCATTCTGCAGTAACTATGTTTTAATACTCACAAAAAAAGATGAAATGCTGTAAATGAAAGTTTATCATCTGGTACTGAAGGTTTAGTCAAAGGCAGCTTCAAAGTAATATAGAAAGCAATGTTAGTGAACTGTGTTTTAAAACTTCTACACCATGTTTCAAGTTTTTAAAGCTGTTATATTTAACAATTAAGAAATGAATTTTACGTTGTTTGATGAATAACCTATTTTAACAGTAATCTTTAAAACAATATTTACTTTGTTATATAATTAATCCCATTTGCTGCTTTTTCCACCCCACCTCCAACTCTAGCACCAGCTGTAAGAAACAAATGTGCTATGAGAACCTGAAATTTTAGTTTATCGTTGGTTTATAAAGAGATGATGATTTCTTTAAACATTAGGTCTTAAATTCCCTGTTTTATTAACATTTTACAAAACAAACACTATAACTGACAATCATGTGACTTGCATGATGAAATCTGATTACAAATATTTGTTAAAGATATTGTTATTTACTTAATTCTTAGGTCATAATGGAATATTAACAGTTGCAATGCAAGTTTTGATATCCAAAACTCTGGTGATTCTTTTAGTATACTTTGTAATTCATGTTTGGGGTGTTGTTTACCTGGTGCTATAAAGGTCATTGTAACTAAAAGGCTTAGGTGTTATTTAAATAAGATGTAGAAAATGTGACAAGTTTTTTGGAAATGGTCTATCTGTGTTCAGTTTCGGCTTGTTATGAGCCTAGATATCATAACATCATAAGCACCACAGCAGATGCTGTAATAGTACAAACATTACTGGCAAAGCAGATTAGTGAGTGATGGCTAGTTAAACAAGGGTTCGGAAGTATAAAAGATTGAGGCAGATCCAAGAACGGTACTAAAAATTTGACTTTCAAGTATGATTTACATCATACACTTGTCAAAGTAGGCTAACTTGTTTGTATTTGGGATAATATAGGAAACTTTGATAAATTCTAACAGTTTTGTTTCATTTTAATGTTATGTCTAAAATACGTGTTTGCTGTACTAGTTATAGATACTCTGTATTTTGTAAGTGCTTTTCTACCATTCATTTTTATTCTCAGCTTTATACCTTAAGGCGGCTTCAGTAGTTGCAAGAAATATCTTTCCTGAAAAACAAGTCAATATTTTCATGTTGGTAATAACTTTTTTTTCCATTACATTATTTTTGGAGACCTTGTTTAAAACAACAGACTAATGGTTAGGTAACTGTCTTAAAACATTTAAGGGTTGAGATATCTCATAATGTAAGATTAATATGTATTTAAAGCTACATTTGTAAAAAATTAGTGTACTTTTTTTTTAACTGAAAAATTTCTAAACTTTAATTGGGATGCTAGCATTACCAAAGTTTTCATGTTTAAAATACTTGTATTATTGGTTGCAATAAAGTGCCTGCTGGACTTTAAAATTTCAGACCTTTCAAATGGTTGAGATATCACTATAATAATAGCTAAACAAATACAAGATATTTACATAACTTGCATTCCTGTCAGTAATGAAGAACATGAACACAAAATGTCAGATAGATTCATCAAAGTTCATAATTATTCTGTAGATTAACTCTTTCAGCACGGGCTCGATCCTTGGGACCAACCTTGTAACCATTTTGTGTTTATTATAGTTTTCATGCTTTAAATTTTAAATTAGTAAGCATATGTTCACTAAATTTGGCAGATTATCAGGGTTGACACCAAAGCTTAGTGACCCGTGTCCAGTATTTGGCCAAATTGTACTACTCGTGCATCCTTTATATATATATACACACACACAAATATATATGGCAGTCAAAGTGTGTTGTTGCACTTGAGAAAATAACATATGCTTGCCTTAAGTATGGTGAAAACCTATAACAAGTTAATACTATATATACTTAAGGCAAGCATATGTTATTTTCTCAAGTGCAACAACACACTTTGACTG